ACAAGTAGTCTTCTTAACAGAACCACTAACGGACAGCAGGTGGCAGCCTCACTCAAGCTAAAGAGCCATCACTGATCTCGGATGAACAAAGTTAAAACCAATGCCATTTAATAAATGACAGGATTGTTAGAGTCTTTAAATCTCTTTTCTTAAATGACCAAGAACTCAGAGCTGCTGTCAGATCCTCCTTCTTCAGTACCAGGGATAAATTAACCACTAGATCCACCTAGTAATTTTGTACATTTTAATAGAAGTGCTTTCAAGTAAAAACAGTTCACCACTTCACAATGCTCTATGAAGTTCTGATTCAGGAGGGCAAGGGAATGGAAGCATCTTAAAGTGAGAGAAGTAAATCTGGCAGAGGGGGTCACAACAGGAAGAAATTGAAGAATTTGGCAGAAATGCCCGCCAATCACTATGGAAAGTTTGAGAAATGTTGATCTCAGTGAAAGAAGCGAAGAATATAAGCCCATTTCAAAAGGTGAGAAAAGAGACACTAAGGGAAATAAATGTCCTCTTGCCCATGTCACTGGCAAATGGCAGAACCTGACCCTGAGCCTACCTCTTGTTCTAGGTCAGATAGCCAAGGCAGGGATGGGAGGTGGGCTATGAAAGGTTTTCATGTTCGTGTGGCTAGATTCCCTGCTTCCTCAGTTTCCCCGATCCCTGCTCCAGGCCATCACAAGTTACAAGAATCAGACGGACCTCCTTGTTTCCAAGTCACATCACTGAAGGCAGAAAAACTTCATACATAAGGACACAGTAAGTAGAGGTCAGTAGTTCATAACCAGTGAGCGAAGGAAAACACAGAACACACTGTAACTGAAGCAAAATATTCTAGAGACAAGGATATTTTTTAGGATAAATTGTAAAGCAACGTTGCCGAAGGGCTTCTTTAGGAAACCCAGAGCCCTAGCATTCCACAAAGTCAAAATTCAAACTTGTCCTTTATTTCCTTCACAATACCCATGGCAATTATCATGCAATATCATCACCTGAGAGAGGGAGCATACAGTTTTTAGCAAAAAAAAAAAACTAGGAAAAAAACCAAATGGTTCTTTGTAAGCCCTCAAAAGAGCAGAATGAGATCCATGAGAATGATCCAGACAATATATGGGGGGGCGCCTGGGTGGCTCAGTTGGTTAAGTGACTGCCTTCGGCTCAGGTCATGATCCTGGAGTCCCGGGATCGAGTCCCACATCAGGCTCCCTGCTCAGCAGGGAGTCTGCTTCTCCCTCTGACCCTCTTCCCTCTCGTGCTGTCTCTCATTCTCTCTCTCAAATAAATAAAATCTTTAAAAAAAAAAAAATACGGGGAAACCCTAAAGTTGTATCTATGCTTAAAAATAAGAACTCGGGGTGCCTGGGTGCTGCAGTTGGTTAAGCGTCCAACTCTTGGTTTCAGCTGAAGCCATGATCTCAGGGTCATGAGACTGAGCCCTGCATCTGACTCCAAGCTCAGCACAGCATCTGCTTGAGGTTCTCTCTTTCTGCCCCTCCCGCTCATGCTCTCTAAAATAAATAAATCTTAAAAAAAAAGAGAGAGAATTCAAATACTGGAAATTCCCCTGCAAAGACAATTTACCCAAGGAAAAGGGGTTGGAATTCCTCTCCTTTCTTAAATTACACAAAGGGTTAACAAACTCCCAAACCTTTAGGTCAACACATGAGATTTAATCTGAACGGTCTTCTTAGTGTAAAGAGTGCTGGCACAAGTCACACACAGCCTGAGTATTACTCAACCCAGGAAATGAGCAGTACTGATCAGTGCACAGCGAGGTGGTTACGATTATCTGAGATACCAAGAGTCCTTCAACAGAAACCTTCACATAAAGTATCCATTATTTGGTGCCTTGGTGGCTCAGTTGGTTAAGTGACTGCCTTCAACTCAGGTCATGATCCTGGAATCCCGGGATCGAGTCCCGCATCGGGCTCCCTGCTCAGCAGTGAATCTGCTTCCGCCTGGGTGGCTCAGTTGGTTAAGCAACTGCCT